TAGAGTTCGAAACTATGCTCTCAAAAGTCTGATATTTCTAAACTGAAACAATGGCTCTGCTGCTTCACACTTACATAATCTTGGGCAAATAAATCCCTTAAACATTATTTTGTTACCTTTAAAATGGGAATAATGATAGAACCAATTTTCTAGAATTACTACCAGTTATGAATGAGAAAATTAATGCATGGTACTTGGAATGTAGCAAACACTCAATGAATAATAGCTCTTACGATAGATATTTTTAAATTATTTTATTATTGTGTACCTGGTTAAAGTCCTCACACTTTCCCCTTCCCTGAGTGAGGCTTCTGAGAAGGTTCTGTGCTGTGTCATCAAGCTGAACATAAAACAATTTCTGATCTACTGTTCCTCTGTTTTTGATTCTTGCTCACTAATATGATGTTATCCTGAAAAATTATTATAATTTCCCCAAACTTCAGCTCTGCCAGTGACGGAAAAGCCAGAGTATAAAGGAAATGATAGATGGTTTGACATGCTGATATCACCAAGATGACATATTGATGGAATGTTTTGAGTTACCAAGATTGAAGGCATCATTGAAATTATTGTGCATCACTATTACTGCTTAGTGCACTGGTGTCTCTGGAGATTCTTATAAAGCCGTATTTCTTAAGAAAAGTAATTTCTGTCATTTTCCGTGTAGTCTGTTAAATCTTTAGTCATAGTGACTAGGGATAACACTCAAACTATTTATAATTGGGGATAGGGCATATACACTACTGATCAGAGAGTCCTGCTAGCCCATCAGAAGATGCCCCGGGGTAACATTCGATAAGACCGTCACGCCATGATGATGTCCAGTGAAATCACACTGGGCAAGCATCATCTGATGGTTATAGTTCCTTTGTGGCCCATTCGGGCATTTTATACCAGTTCCATACACGAAGGAACGCGAAGTTATTCAGTTAGGTTTGGCCTTTGAGGGATGAAGAAGTCCACCTGCTCAATAATTGCTCTTCTGACATTTTCCATTTGCTGTCACCTCTAAGAGTGATAGCCTGCATGGAAGTACTTTCACTAGCACATAGGTTAAGAGTTAAAAGCAGTGCGGACCATAAAGTTATGAAGGAGGCCTGAGGTTAAGGACTAGCTGGAAAAATACTTTGAGCCTACTAGATGGCTAAAAATAGCAATTTTCACCATCAAATCACCATGATAAACATAATGACTACAAAAGAACACATTTGAAAGGAATAATTCTTTTAAATGGTATTGCTTCTCTGGTTATTTGTTGGTAAGCTCACTTGACCCCTAAAAATCTGCAGTCTTTTGCTAAGTTGTACAGTTAGTAAATGTTCCCAGTTACTTAGTGCCTAGGTTAAACAGTAAACTAAATGAAGAGCGAAACATTATTCATTGACTTCTTAAGGAAAAAAATAATGAATCATGTGGATTCAGATAAGTGTGTTGTTAAAGGCATAGTGACAGCAATGTGTCCCCAATTAAGTGGGTGGTAAACTGCTCTTTTCCCACTTACTCATTCCAATAAAGACTGACTCATGCTTCTTTAGACCAAATTTTAAAAATTCCTATTTAGGACAACACTTGCACTGAGTGTGAAGTTGGACTGGAAGAAAGCACAGGGTAATGATAAATGTGGCTGGCTCTTTGCACCTGTGTAAACAAGCACTGCCCTCCACAGGTCGGCATCAGGGACCTTCCAGCAAGGCTTTGCTCTGATACAGCCTTTCCCTGTACTCATAAGGAAAAAAGATCCAGATTTAGGATCAAGTCCTGTGATGTGTGTGTGTGCGTGTGTGTTTGCTTAAAAAAGATTGGGAGAAGAAGGGGGATTTGTTGAGGGGTAGTGGGAACAACCAGAGAACAGGGAGAAATCCATCTGGCCAGGGAGAGAAATGAACACGATGGTTTTGAGAATGTGGTTCTCAAAACACGCTACCCAGGACTGCAGGACTGCAGCCTCACGTCACTTGGTCACTTTGTTACAAATGCAAGCTCTTGGGTGCTAGATTGGAAACACTGAAGTGGATCCAGCCAACAGCATTTGATCAAACGCTCCAGGTGATTTTGATACAGCTGAGATTTAGGACTACTGGCTTAAAGGGCAGTGAAGGGCCTGCTTGGCAAAGAAGAGGCTACTCCAGAAAGAATTTTAGCTAATCACCAGCTTGTGCCTCTGTTTCTGAGATATTATGGTTCTCTAGAATCAGAGCTGCATAGGCACTGTTCTTGGTTCTCGTGTGGGTGAGAACGTCTAACTGTATTTCACTGGGTTCCATCAAGTGTTTGCTTCAGAGAAATCCTGGGTATAAATTGTTTCTTACTGCTTTTTTCTCTGTAAGAAATTAGAGTTTAGGTAGATCTGTCTAAACTGGTTTCCAATTTAAAATGTACTTTATCTTTTTGAAAACCACCTTTTCGTCTAAAACTTTTAATCTTATTTTATTTTGATTTTCTTAATTTTGTTGAAGAGAGTGAACTTAGTTTTCCTATCTCGAACCTTTAGCTACCTGTGGTGTGCTAAGGACTTTTAGTTTTGAACATGGTATTTGGTGAAATCAACCACAGAATTTTAAAGATCTGCCAGGAAACTTGAGGTTTCAGTGCGAATTGCATGTTGCATAATTCAGCTTTTCACCCAATCTTCCATGTAGTTTCAACCGTCGAAGGAAAAAAAACTGCTATTGCACCATTTGATGTTTTGAAGTGTGGCACCTTATGGGATAATTTTTGCATTTGTTTATTCATCGCGCTTGGAAAATATGCTGGCCTCCCTTCTTTTCTTTCCTTCTTTTTCCTTCTTCATTTAACTTGTTCTTTATACCAGAAATTGTTTTTGATTTCTTTCAAAAATGAAATAGACTTCTCTGAAATAAAATGTCAAGACTTTGGAAGAGGAATATGACAAAAAAAGAAGAGTCAAAGTTTACGGACTTGTGTTAACACAAAAAGAACAAGAAGTAGGGGTTAGCATGCTGGAAATTTGAACTGGAAGATGGGATGTTTCAGAATATTCTGTTAGGAACCTTGAGTCTGAGAAGCGGTTTACAGGACCTGAGTTATAGCTGTACGGGGTGGCAGTAATGTGTATGAGTAATTATTGCTGAGTAAATCACTCACCCGCTCTTTGACCTTGTAGGTTACTTAGGTCTCATTGCTGGTATTCATTTTCATACTCTGTAAAATCTGATTTAAAATGACTTTTTAGCAGGATACAAAATTAATATTCAGAAATTTGTTGCATTCCTATACACTAATACTGAACAACCAGAAAGAGAAATTAAGAAAATAATCCCATTTTCGTTTGCATCAAAAAGAATAAAATACCCCGGCTAAGTTTCAGCAATGGGGTACCTAATTTAGTCCATTTTGATGCTTTTAATTGTAATTCACCTGTGTTCATAGTTACATAGTTCTGCATTGCATTAAAACACAATTTATTTAACTAGTCATATGACAAAGGATATTTTGGTTGTTTCACTTTTTTGTTCATATAATATAATGAACATTTATGTGTATCTCTTTTCATAAACATATGTACAGTTTTACTGGGACAAATAACTGGGATGGGAATCTTTGGGTATTAGGTTGTAATCATCTTTCCTAGATGTCTTTCCTAGGCGTCACCAGATTGATTTCCAAGTGGTTGTACCTGCTGATACTTCCGCTAGGAGTGCATAGGATTGCTTGTCCTCAAATGTCTTTGCCAGTAATTGCTGCTGCTAGTTTTTAAAATTTTTTTCCCATTTGATAGGTAGTAATTGTATCTTGTGGGTTTATTTAACATTTCTCTTATAACCAATAAATATAACATGTTTTAATATGTTAGAGGTCATTTGTATTTATTTTTTGTGAGAAATACTTGTTCAGATTCCCCCCCCCAATTTTTTATAACATTTTTATTTTGCTCAGTAATGGGTAGAAATCTTTTATATATTTTAGAATTTACTCCTTTTTCTTTAGTCATATGTAACAGATATATTTTCTCCCAGGGTTCGCCTTGTGAGGGTAGGTCTGCTTCTGGGGGTATTCTGTGTCCTTAGTCTATTTCTGTTCCAATTTTATGTTGTCTCACTCAGCACTTATTTATGATAAATATCAGTGTATGCAGGTGCAAATTACTCTTGCTATCTTTTACTGGGGGTACCTTGAATGTTAACCTTTGTTTTCCTTTTCCTTTTTTTGTGATATTTTTAAATTTTTATTTTTATTATATGTATTAGGTAATAAGATCACATAGGTTTCAAGCATACATCTGTTTGATATACTGGTATTATCTTTGTATTGCGTTGTGTTATCACCATCCAAAGTCAAATTATTTTCCATCACCATATATTTGGCCCCCTTTACCCTTTACTTCACCCCCGCCCCTTCTCTCTAGTAACCACCATACTGTTGTCTGTGTCTGTGAGTTTCAGTTTTATACCCCACATCTGAGTGAAATTACATGGTTTTCAGCTTTTTCTGACTGACTTATTCCACTTACCATAATATTCTCAAGGTATAATATATATGTTTTAAAATACCTTAAGGACTTACAAACACATCTATATGTCATATATGTTGTGTGTATGTGTATATATGTGTGTGTGTGTGTGTATATATATATATATAAAATGTGATTTTTCTTTGAAGTGAATTGGATGTATTGAAGGTTTTGGGAAAAAATTCCAGTTTTGTGACTTTTAGTCTTCTAGTCACCAAATAGTCAATGTCTATTGATTGAAGTTTTTTTGATATTATTTTTATTATACTTGAGATTTTCATTATTACCTTTTTGTAGGATTCCAAATGCATTTCTAGATTCTCTTGTTTACATTAATGCAGGCTCTGAGTTTTTTTTCCAGTGGAGTGCTGATACACATCTAGCCCAGCATCCTCCCAGAAGGCAAGGATTTATGAAGAGTATTTTTATGTGCATTTTTTCATTTAAATGGGAGTGATTACCTTGAATTTGATTTCTCTGCCAACCTAAATATGCTTACATACATATAGTTGTATTTTTCATATTGTAGGTGGAAAAATGTTAACCAGTGAAAGAGCCCATTTTTGGTCAGGAGGTACTCCACGAAGTAGGTCTGCAGGAAATTTGATTGACATGGAAGCTGGAAAACCCTCCGAAAAGTGCAGTATCACAGGTATGGGAAGGTAAAACTGTTGTAACTTTTTTCATCCATCACCAGCAACTATTGAAGGTCTAGCTCTGAAAAGCCTTACAAAAGATTAAAAGAATTATAAAATCCCAATATGACCATGGACATATGTAAACTATCATTAAAAAGAGGAATAAAATAGCAGATTCAACAGATTATAATATTAAAAGAAGGCAAAAACTCATTAAATGAGTGGTATGGGCAGTAAATATATAATGAATCTGGGGGTTAAAGACGTGTAGAGCTTGGAGTGGGCTACAAAATCTGTATGGAGCATAAAAGAATTAAATTAAATCTTAGAGGAAAAGTAGTTTTGAGAGTTAGATAGAACCTATTGGATGAAAGTATGGAACTGGGAGAAGCACAACTTTTCTTTCCCAAAATGCATCTTCTATTTTTAATATCTGCCACTGAAAACATACTTCAATCAAGACAGTAGTTCTATACACATCAAACAAAAAAAATTCTGACAGTTTACTCAAATACATCTTTCTCTTATGGCTGGCCTCTTGGCTTTCATTTCTCTCTGAAGCAGAATCAGCTTCATGAAGTCCACAGAATCATGACCAATATTATTGAGAAATGACCAAGTATGAGTAGCTCTCAACACAAAAAAAGACTTCAGTACTTTGACATATGTAAAATTCCTTAGAGCTGATATGTTAATATTTTAATGTGTCGCTGATTCTTAAATTATTCATGTTTCAAAGTAATAACATGTCTTCATTTCATAGTGGTAAACCTGTTTTTGTCATTTTTAACTGGAAAAGCTCAGTGAATTCTTACAAGTAGTAAATCTGATGTTTATTATATATGAAAAAATTATAATGTTAAAATTTATCAACACAAAGTCATCAGGAAATAAACTGAAAAATGCATTGTGTATTTGGCCTATTGTATTTATTTAGTTTTATTTTCTGATTTTAGAAAGAGGGGAAGGGAGGGAGAAAGAGAGAGAGAAACATCGATGTGACTGAGATACGTTGATTGCCTGCCTTCCATGTGCATCTCGACTGAATACAAAACCTATAATGTGCCCTGATCAAGAATCAAACTGGTGACCTTTGCACTTTGTGGGACAATTCTCCAACCAACTGAGCCACACCAGCTGGGTGGCCTATTTTTTAAAAACAGTTACTTTGCCTATTAACAGATGTATTTGATATTTTTACATATTATATATTCTTAGAAAAGAAAAAAATGAATAATATAGATATATTGAGACTATTCAATGTTTAGGAAAAATCTAGATAATTGGCTGAATTAGTCTACTTGTTCAGAGATTTTCTTTTTTGAAAATAAAACACAAAACTATAAGGTATAAGTTTATGTAGTGTGGGTCATTTTGAAGGAAATGTATTATATTCATTATTATCTAAATATTAACCATTCATTCATTTTTAAATCATTATCTTAAAATAATATCACATATGGTCATAGTAAACTAGTAAAATAGTTCTTTTTCTCACAGCATGAAAATTTGACCAAATTTAATATTAATCTTGGAGCACCTATTAGACTGGAGATCAAAAAACAAAATAAAAAGTCTTGAGTTTTTAAGCTATAATAAAAATGAATCTTGGTTGTATCATAGAATGATACTTACCATTGTTTTGCTTTGTTTTTGTTTAAATAACCAGAATGTCCAGACCCAAGCTTGCTTCTCAGCTGGCCAGATGCTTTCACACTTCATGGCAATAATGTCTCCAAAGCTACAAATCCATTCTGGGATGAACTGTCTGCTTCTAACCCATTTTTGGATGATATAACTCAGTTAAGAAATAACCAGAAGAAAGGTAGTATTTCCATCTTGAAGGAAGATCCTTTTCTTTTTTTTAGAGAAATAGAACCTGGAAATTCTGTAGATTCCTCTGGTGATGAACTTGATGTGCACCGATTGCTTAGGCAGTCTTCCTCGAGGAAATCAGGGAGATCTAAAAGTGTTTCAGAACTTTTGCACATTTTAGATGACACAGTACATGTCCATCAGAATATACAGAACTCTGACCAGATCCTAGAACAAGATTTGGAATGGCTTCATAATGATCGAGAGGCTTATAAAATGGCTTGGTTAAGTCAACGCCAGCTGGCCCGCTCCTGCCTAGATTTGAATACAATTAGTCAGAGTCCTGGATGGGCACAAACACAAGTTGCAGAGACTGTGGTCGTTTGTCAGTTAAACCACCAAGGAGGGTCAGTACAATTACCTGAATCAGACATCACTGTTCATGTGCCCCAAGGGCATGTAGCTGTGGGAGAATTCCAGGAAGTATCTCTAAGGGTTTTTCTTGATCCTCCACAAATGCTTAATCATGATCTTTCGTGCACTGTGAGCCCACTGTTGGAAATCATGTTAGGCAACCTTAACACAATGGAAGCCATTTTGCTGGAGATGAAAATCAGTGCTGAAGTGAGAAAGGACCCTTTCAGCCAAGTCATGACAGAAATGGTGTGTTTACACAGCCTGAGTAAAGAAGGCCCTTTCAAAGTGCTAAACAGCTGCTACATTTATAAAGACACCATCCAAGTCAAGCTAATAGATTTGAGTCGGGTGATGTACCTAGTGGTTGCTGCGCAAGCTAAAGCTACTCAGTCACCAGCTGTCACCATTTGGGATTATATCCACAAAACCACCTCGGTTGGAATTTATGGACCCAAACATATCCATCCCAGTTTCACTACTGTTTTCACAGTTTGTGGACACAGTTATTTGCCAGGAAAGCTGACAATCTCTGGTATTAGGAAGGGTAGAAAAAACACATCTCCAGTTGTGTTTCAGCTCTGGGGGAAGCATTCATTCTTACTTGACAAGCCACAAGATTTAAATATTTCTGTTTTTTCATGTGATCCTGATTTTGAAGTAAAGGCAGGGGGAGAAAAAGGAATTAAACAAAAGCAGCTGCAAGCGAGTCAAGTAGTTCATCAACAATTTTTATTTTCTTTGGTTGACTCCAGAGAAATGCACTTGTTTGTTTTCCGTGTTCAGCTGCAGCCTGCCGATGGCAGGCCAGTTACACAGTTCGATATCACTACTCCTGACCCAGCTCCAAACCTAAAGAGACACTCAAACCTGCCAGGCGATTTGCAGAAAGGGAAGGAAATCAAGTCTGTTCCTTCATTACCAACAGTGCATGTTAAATATCCCACCTTTCAAGACAAAAATTTGAACTTTACCAATTACGGAGTAACGCTGAAGACAGTGCTAAGAAAAAAGAAGATTGACTACTTACTTGAATATTTCAAAGGAGACACAATAGCTCTCCTTGGAGAAGGTAAGGTAAAAGCCATTGGGCAGTCCAAAGTAAAAGAATGGTATGTGGCAGTCTTGAGAGGTAAGATTGGACTTGTACACTGCAGAAATGTCAAGGTGATTGCAAAGGAACAAGTAATGCCTGTGTCAGATAGTGTCTTCACTACGAGGAGCCTCCTTGAACAAATTGTCCTGCCCTTTAAGAAACTGACCTATATCTACTCAGTTGTATTGACTTTGGTGTCAGAAAAAGTTAATGATTGGAAAGCTTTAGCTGATGTACTGGGTTACTCACATATGGCACTGGAAGATTTTGATCGAACACAAGCCGACAAAGAATCAGAAAAAGTTTCTTACATTTTAAAGAAGTTAAAGGAAGATTGCCATGCAGACAGGAATGCCAGAAGGTTTCTTTATGAACTTGTCGTGGTGAGTATTGCTTGATCACAGTCATTTATTTACCATAGAATATTTTATTGGTAATATTTATAACCGAACATATGAGAGAAAAAGCTAAAACATTCTCAGCAGTTATCAATTAAGTTTAAGTCACTTTACAGCAAATATGTAGCTTTTCCTACAAGGTCATATAAATGGTTTCTTAGACTCAGTTGTGGTTTTCCCAGAAACTAGGCCCACAAGGATCATCTTTTGAAGGAAGATTAAAGTTTCTGTTTGTGCTAGAGTATAACAGTTAAGAGATTCTCTTCCTTTCTCAAATATTTAGATAGCTCTTAAAATATCAGACAAACTCCAGTAACGTGAATAAGAGAACACTGAAATAAAACTAATGAACTTGGCCTTTGCAATAGGTCCACATTTTCATGTTTTTTAAAACATGCAATCAGTCTTTTACTTTAGAAATTTATTCTTCTTTATGCAATTTATCAAAACCTTAAAATAATATTATCTAATCTCTTCTTAATCCTCATGTTTTAACAGTACTCCAAGGATCATTTTTTAAAGATAACATTCACCCCAGTGTAAGACTCCATGGAGAATTATAAAAAAGATGAAGAATAATTTTGCCTTTAAAGTGGAAATTCAGTATTTTATAAAAGTAAAAAAAAATTCAAGAGCATATTTTTAAAATTTTCTAAAATTTATAAATAATAATGATAGCTAGCACTCCTCTGAAGTTCTCTATGTGTTTGGCACTGTGCTGAACACTCTAGTCACACTATCTAATTTAACCATTATAAAAACTCTGTGGGAAAGTATAGCTGGTCTTCACCTTACAAATAGAGGTAACTGAGTCTTAGGAGGTTGGGTTCCACAGTTGTTAGTATTGGAGATGAGATTTGAAAGCTTTTGGTTCCAAAGTCAGGTTTAAAACCACCACGCCTTTCTGAAAGAAACTTGTCTGTGTGTAAAAATGTTTAAGTGTGTGCGTTGGCATGTGTAGTAAATACCATTATAATTGTGCAAGGCTGGTGTCCTTAGGAAAGGAGTGGTTCATATAGATGAGGCAGGTTCATGTTAGAGGAGCAGAGTGTTTTTTTTAAAAATATTTATTTATTTATTTTTAGACAGAGGGGAAGGGAGGGAAACAGAGAGGGAGAGAAACATCTATGTGTGGTTGCCTCTTGTATGCCCCCTACTGGGGATCTGGCCTGCAACCCAGGCATGTGCCCTGACTGGGAATCAAACCTGCCGGCTCACAGGCTGACACCAATCCACTGAACCACACTAGCCAGAGTGAGAGAAGCAGAGTGTTAATCAAAGTGCAAAATGTGGAGATAAATTTATTCAATGACTAACAATCATTTGTATAATAAATAAGTATATATAAAATATTTCTTTTTCAATTATTTTTCTGACTCTACAATGATACTTGAGAGAGGTTCAATTTTGAAAGCCCTCATATGTATTAGGCACAATTCCACTGATGAAGAGTGTTAATTTTTCGAAAGTCATAATTATCAATAGCATTGTTTAAAGTTGTAGGAGTGTCTCATTGTCATGCAATGACAATGATTCTGGAAAGTTTTAATCACATTTTGATGAAAAGTGAAATAATGTTTACCACATTTACGCACTAGTATGCTCACTCCTTAGAGAGATCCTGTAGCTAATCGTCTGGTAAGCAAAGGAATTAGTTTTCGAAGAATAAATTATCATCCTGGGTTGACAAATTATAGGCTGCTGGAACTTCAGGGTGTCTTTAGAAGTGTCTAGTTCAACATCCTCTTTTGCAATTAAAGATATTAAGAAACAGATGAGTGGTTGACCCCAAACCCTATAATTTAGCCATGGAGTTAGTCTTCAATCTCCTCTAATTTTGGTCCAGTTGCATCTGCTGTACTTTGCTAGCTGGATGTGCTTAAGAATAAATCAACTCTTTCAATTTTAAGAAATTCATATATTGTGTGGTGAGAAATGGGATGCCAGTTTCTAGAATATGTAATGAAAAATTGAATTTCTAGGAAAAAGCCCAAATTACTGGCTTTTGATTATTGCTGTAATTATTGCTGCAGGCTCTGCTGAAGATAGATCGCCAAGGTTTGGTGGCTCACATCATCCAAGAGGCCACCATCCTGACTTCAGCTGTCAAGCTGGGCAAGGGCTGGAGAGAACTAGCTCCGAAGTTAGCACGACTCACAAAGAAACAAATGGAAGCATATGAAGTTCCTCACCGAGGAAAGGCTGGGCATGTCGCTGTTGAGGTAATATTTTTCTGTTCGTCTAATTCAATAGTGGAAAAATGCAGACCAAGTAAATTAAATGTAATCAAGCCTGAATCACTTACATGGGTTAATTTAGGGAGTGTTCTAGAAGATCCACTAACTGAAGCCATTGCCTAAAATGATTATCAATGGTGTCTGAAATACACACACACCACTCTTTAAAGGCCTTTAAAATATGTATAGTCTTTAAAATATATTGATGTTTCTTTCTCCTATTGGATTCCATGTTAATATGGCCTTTGAACTAATAAATTGACCAAACTGGATAGCTAACCAATTAGTAAGTAGGCAGGGCTAGAAAATCTTGAGGCAGATAACACACGAATGTGATGGGGCCAAGTCAGGGCATGGGTAAATTGTAAGCATAATAATAATATTTACCAGCCTAAAGCATAGACTTAGTCATTTGTGATAATATTTGGTGATAATAGCACTAAGAGTGTGGATGGTAATGAGAAAGGATTTCTAAGAGCTTCATTGTTTCTTTGACAATTTTGTGTGCAGTAAGAATTACAGGCATCAAATACAGAGTGACAGCACGTAGAGCAAAGTAAATATTCACATTGCAAATGTTAAATTAAATCAAATTTAATTTTTATTAACAGAACAAATGTATACTGTTAGGTATAAGTTAGATACATATTTTCTCTATTTAATGTAAAATAGGAGTCAATTTTTTTAGTTAAATTACAATATTCCAGTGATGAGCACATATAAAATGTCCTGCATCTTTCTCTCACACATCTTATATTCTCTTACGAATGTAAGCATTTTTGAGCCATTTCAGTTAAGGAAAGAGTCTCTCTCTGATTAGGTGATGACTTGGTAGGAGGCAGAAGCTATGGCCTGCACTTCCTTTTGGGGCACAGAGCTGGAGAAAATTTTCTCTTTTTTCCCCCCTTTTATACTGTTATTTCTTTTTTTAAAATTGTTATTCAGCTACAATTGTTCCCATTTTTCCTCCACCACTCTCCCCCAGTCTACCCACCCCCACTTCCCACACTCAATCCTATGCCCCATTGGCTTTGTCCATGGGTCCTTTACACATGTTTCTTGATGACCCTTCCCCTTCTTTCCCCTCTACCCACCTCCTCCCTGCTCTGGTTACTGTCACTTTGTTCTTTATTTCAATGTCTCTGGTTATATTTTGTTTGCTTGTTTATTTTGTTGATTAGGTTCCACTTATAGGTGAGATCATGTGGTATTTGTCTTTCACTGCCTGGCTTATTTCACTTAGCATAATGCTCTTCAGTTTCATCCATGCTGTCATGAAGGGTAGAAGTTCCTTCTTTCTTTCTGCTGTGTAGTATTCCATTGTGTAAATGTACCGTAGTTTTTTGATCCACTCATTTACCGATGGACGCTTAGGCTGCTTCCAGCACTTGGCTGTTGTAAATAACACTGCTATTAACATTGGGGTGCATAGGTTCTTTTGCATTGGTCATTCAGGATTCCCAGGGTATAATTGTAGCAGTGGGATCACTGGATCGAAAGGCAGTTCCATTTTTAGTTTTTTGAGGAAATCCCACACTGTTTTCCGCAGTGGCTGCACCGGTCTGCATTCCCACCAGCAGTGCACTAGGGTTTCCTTTTCTCCACATCCTCGCCAGCACTTGTTTGTTGATTTGTTTATGATGGCCATTCTGATTGGTGTGAAGTGGTATCGCATTGTGGTTTTAATTTTTGTCTCTGATGGCTAGTGATGCTGAACGTCCTTTCATATGTCCCTGGGCCCTCTGTATGTCCTTCCTGGAGAAGTGTCTGTTCAGGTCCTTTGCCCATTTTTTAATTGGATTGTTTATCTTCCTGGAGTGGAGTCATGTGAGTTCTTTACATATTTTGGAGATCAAGCCCTTGTCTGAGGTATCATTGGCAAGTACATTTTCCTATATAATTGGTTCCTTTTTAATTTTGCTAATGTATTTTTTTATCCATGAAGAAGGTTTTCTTACTATGCCAGTTGGGTGTGCAGAACAAAACAATCTTTTCATGAAGGGACAAGAGTCAAACCAAGTCAGTTGAATCCCAGCAGGTGCAGTGGAAGTCACAGCAGACCCACTTCTGGGTGCCTGGAGCCTCGCTCTCCAGTAAGACTACTTTACACAAACTTTTTAGCCAAGAGCAGCCAGAGGCTGAGGGCATGTTTTCTCCCCATGGACTACATTTATCTCCGTACCCTAAGAAGTACCTTACCACCTACAAATCACTTTCTACCAAATGGGCTAAAAGATGAGAAATTTGTAAGAAAGAAGACAACAACAATACTATGGGGGATGTGCTGCTCTAATATTACAGTTAACAGATCAAAAAGTTGTCTAACTGAGGTACCACTACACACCTACTCAAATTGACAAGTCCAGAACACTAATAACACCAAGTGCTGGTGAGGACGTGGAGTAACAGGAGTCCTCACTCATTGCTGGTGGGGATGCTAAATGGTACAGCCACTTGGGAAGTGACATTGGCTGTTTCCTACAAATAAAACATACTCCATGCTTGGCATACATGCTATCAGTTGTGCTCTTTGGTATCTACCCAAAGGAACTGAAAACATATGTCTACACAAAAATGGCACGTGGATATTCATAGCAAATTTGTTTGTAATTACTGAAATTCGAAAGCAACCAAGATGCCTTCGGTATGCGAATGGATAAATGAACTTATGTGCATCTAGACAATGGAATATTACTTAGTGCTAAAAAGAAACAAACTGTTAATTCATGAAAAGACATGGAGGAGCCTCAAATGCATGTTACTAAGCAAAATAAGTCAGTCAGAAAAGGCTCCGTACTGTATGATTCCAAATATATGACATTCTAGAAAAGGCAAAACTATAGAGACAGTAAAAAAAAAAAAAAAACAGTGGTTCCTGGGGGTTGGGAGGGAGGGATAAATAGGAAGAACACAGAGGATTTTTAGGGCAGTGATACCATGATAGATACATGTCACTATACAGTGATCCAAACCCATAGAATATACAACGCCAAAAGTAGACCATAATGTAAACTATAGGCTTTGGGTGATTATGCTGTATCAATGTAGATTCATCAATTGTAACAGGTAGAGCACTCTGGTTGGAGAGGTTGATAATAGGGAAGCTATGCATGTGAGGGGCAGGAGGTGTACGGAAAATGTCTGTACCTTCCTCTCAACTCTTCTGTGAACTTAAAAGGTCTCTTTAAACAATCTTTTAAAATTGTATAATTGAAAGCAAGGCTTTCTTTTCATAATAAGTCTGTTTTTAAAAAGGCTTTCTTGAAAGTGATTTATCAAAGAGTTATTTATTCTCTCAGCTTTGTTAAGTATCTGACTTCTCTCTAATTATGGTTGTTTATAGTTTGTCTTCTCCCAAATCTTGGTGGAGGCCAAGCAGACTACTTTTCCATTATTTACTTTTGCACTGCCCAAATCACCAATGACTAAGTCTGTGCCAGAGGCTAATAAATAAATACTCAGAAGCAGGAAAGGAAAGCCCCTAGGTGTCTTTCTAGGGGCTAATGTTTAATTTATTGTGATTCATGCTCACAGTCATCACTCCAATTCATGTTGCTAAATTCTTAAAAATATCCACGGTGTTGGCCTAAGCCACCCCAGACAATCTGTGGGAACTGCTGCCTGTTAGGCCATTAAACTAAAAAGTATCCTGATTTCCATCCCCCTGAAAAAAACCCAGCTGTATAATTTATTCTCTCAGAAAGGAGCTGATTCTTAAATATGACCAATTTGCAAGTCACGTAGTTGATTTCAAAACACACTGATACTAGTGTGTTTTGGGGTAGGGGATGCAGAGGAAGGGAACCAGGCCTGCTGCTTCCCAGGCTGCTTATATTCCCGTTATATCGCCACCTCGGAGGGCCCACGCTCCCAAAACGTCCTTCTGCTAGTGCCTACAGGCTCTTTCTGCCTCTTTCCTTTCTTTTCATCCTCTCTCGTTCCCTTCATCCTTTTTGTATTGTATCTCATGTTTATCTGACACTCACTCTGTGGCAGGCACTGTTCTGGTAATGTTTCAAAAACTGACTTAATCCTTTCAACAAAAAAACTTGTGGGTCAGGCACTAATATTATCTAAAATGGAGGGAGGCTACGCTACTTGCCTAAACAGGCATCGCTACAAAGGCATGGAACCAGGTGAGGAGTGTAGGCTTTGACTCTGGGGTCCTTGTGCTTTACACTCTGCCCATCCGCTCCAAGTCCAATGTGCTGGCTGAGGGGCAGGGCTGGCAGATGTGGTTAGGATGGGGGTTTAAGCATGACATCTCTCCTTTCCCCCCTTTTAAAGTTATGATACTACTAAAATTGGCCTCAACATCTTCATCAAGGCTCAAGCCAATTAAATAATGCAGATTATTAATAGTATGTCTGTCAGATTTTTGTTGACTATTTTGGCCATTTCTTACTCTTTTATAAGATGAATAAAAGCCTCTCTCTGGAGACTTCTGAGAACATCACTTTTTAAATTAACCATCTCCCTAAATTAAATTTTAAGAAATATTACTCAATTCTTCTAATGACATTGCAATAAAAACAAAACTATAAAACTTGAAATATGATTATGTCCTCTGTTTCTCAGATTATTTCTTTAAAAGAAAAACCCACTTATGCTATACAGATGTTTAATTGTTGCCAGGGTTTTCCTGTGAAAGTGAATAAAAATTGAACTTTTTCTGAGGATATTTATATCTTTAATTTAAATACAATAAGAATTGATAAAATATTAGAAAATGGGCCATTTTTAAAAATGGTTGGGCTTTGCAAGGAGCAATGCTGGGGGTTTTGGGGTTAAGAGACACACCTAAATTAGGGACTCTTCACTTAGCTCTTTGGGGATTATGACCATATATGGCAATAAATTCCCTAGCAACTCTCTCCCATTGGCCCCATACCTAACAATAAAGATTATGGTCTTTCCATCTTGTTCAGTATGGACACATTCACCAAGGACACTCAAGGTTCACTTCCCCCTTTCAGATGCCTTTT